TGCCGCCGCCGTCCGCGGCGCAATCCCAGCAGCTTCCGACGCTCTCCCCTTCCCCTCAGCATCAACAGCAGCAGTCCCACCAGCCGCCGCCGCCACAGCCGCCGCCGGTGCTAGACCACCTATGGAAATTCCAAGTTCTCTGCGGCGGGGCCGTCGCAGCGCTTGCCGCGCATGCGCCGCTCGCCTCTTCCCTCCGCGGCATGAGCAGCAGCGGCGCCGCCGCCGCCGGTGCCGCCACCACCGCCGGGGCCCCGTCAGCTGCAAGCCCTGCGGTGGCGCACGTGCTCATGTCGGCGTTGTACAGCTACTGCTCCGAAGCCGACGGCGGCTGCATTGCGGTGCTGGCGGCGAACCCTGGCGTCGCGGCGGCGTTGGCGTTGGCGTTATCGTACGGCGCGAGGATGCTGGGCGTGGATGTCGACTTGGCGATGCCGCACCCACACGTTCAGCCTTGGCCCGGTATGGCAGGTTTAGGAGCTGGAAATGGAGGTGCGGCGGCGGCTGCCGGTGTTGGTGGCGGCGGCGGCGGCGGCGGCGGCGGCAGCGGCGGAACGCCGGAATCCAGCGTCCGTGGCGGGACCGCTGGCGGAGCTGCGGGGGCCCCTCAGGGGCAGAACTTGAATGTTACGGTGGTGGTGGCGTCGATGGATTCTGGCGGCAGCCGCGGCAGCGGTGCCGCCGCTGGGTACGGCACGCTTGACGCTGCTGGGGCGCTGGGCGCCGCCGTCTATGCCATGCATGTGATGAGAGTTGTGGCCGCCAGCAACTTGGCGACAGAGGCACTGGTCGCATCCGACTGCGGTGCTCTGCCTGTCGTCCGTACACTATCGTACTTTCTAATTCATCGCAGCATGGATCAGACGTCACCGCTGGACGAGGAAGCTTTTGCCGTACAGGCCATCGCCAGTGGCACTCTGGCGCGGCTGGCTGAGCAGCCTGCGGGGCGCGCTACTAGTGTCGTACGCGAGGCTCTTGCGCCGCCGCCGGAGGTGCTCTCCGCGATGGCCCTGCTCCTGATGCTGCCGCCAGCGCCGCCGCCGCCCCTAGTTTGGGGCGCATCGGCGGGCGACACGGCGGCGGCGGCCAGCCGCAGCTTCGAGGCATCTTTGCTGGCGGCGATTGCGCAGTACGGCCCGTACAGCTACGAGATGTTTACGCAGGTCCGTAGAATGGAGACAGTGTGTCATCCTGGAATAACCCCCGCACCCAACCCCCCAACCCCTCTCGAGGTCTCCGGACAGTCCAATCCATGTGGCCTTCCTCCGGCGGCATCTCTCTTATTCCCCTGAGCCATCTTTCCTCCCAGCCGCTACCGAAGGTGGTACCCTTCCCCGTCCGGTAGTCAAGTGGTGGTGGCGGTGGTGGTGGTGGTGGTGATGGTCTTTGTCTGATCTCTGGTAGCCGGTCTGGTAGAGAGTCGTCAGGTAGAGCTCATGTCAGGTAGAGCGTCGCTCATTACAATGTGATATTGGAGCAAACCTGGGGCGTTCGCTGCCCTTGCGTTTGGCATCTGCCCTGATTCCCTTCCCTTCCCTTCCACCGACATCCACATCCACATCCACATCAACATCCACATCGTACGACACATCCACATCGTACGACACATCGCCTGTCCTTTCGACAGTGCACTTCAGGGCCCTCACCTCCCCTCCCCTCCCCTTCCACCGCACCGCCTCTTCCTCTCTGTCTCATCAGGTCATCGTCAACACGCGGGGCGCGCTAGGGACCATCATCGCCCTGCTACCCGCCCCCACTGCTACATCCACACGCGGAGAGCGCGACTCACAACAGCTACAGCAGCTGCAGCAGCAGCAGCTACAATCCGCTACAGCTTCCGTAGATCTTGGCGCTTCAATCGGCTCCGTCGGCCGCGTTGTCGGCGGCGTCGGAGCGAGTGCTACTACTGCGTCGGCGTCGGCGGCGTCGTCGGGCACGCTGGTGACGGCGGGTGCGCGTCCCGAATCGGCGGCGGCGGCGAATGGTGGTGGCAGTAGCGGCGGCGGCGGCAGCGGCAGCGGCGTGGCGGGGGAGCCGTACGGTGACGCAGCGGCGGCGGGTGTGGAGGCGGCGTTGGCGTTGTGTACAGCGGCGGCTCATAGTCGGGACGTTGCGCGCGTGTTGGCGGGGAAGACGACGTTAGTGGCGACACTGCTGGCGGTGCTGCGGGAGCGGCGGCCGGGTATGTGGAAGTTAGCGTGAATTACCCATGGGGTTGTTGGAGGCCATTGGCACTGACGTTGACATAATAAAACAGTGCGACCGAAGACTAATGAGACCCAGACACCTTCAAGCTTAAGGCGTAAAGCGAGGGTTCTCCGGACTGGAGCTCCGCCACACACGTGCATATGTATGTATGTATATCTGTGGCATGGATTAAGTGTGTTCTCGAGTCCTTTCCTTAGCTTGTCATGTAAAACCTGTGTATCATCGTGGTATTTTCAGGTTTGGGGATTCTGTTTGTTGTCGCCATTCAGCTTTTTGACGCTCTCACTCGTGACCGTTGCTCGCGGCGACTGCGACCCCACTTTTCCTTCCCTACCCACCTCCCTCCCGCCCGCCCTCCTCATCCTCTTCATCCTCTTCATCCTCTTCTTTTCTTCGAGATTCAATTCTCCCCCCCCTCCGCTTGAGTCACCCCCGCTTAAGCTCGTCTCCCACGCACATGTCCTGCCTCCGCCTCCACCGCAACAGTCCTGCCCGCAGCCGCGTCCGCCGACCCGTGGGTCACCGGCTGGCAATCCCAGTGGCAGTGGCAGGCGGGGCTGCGGGTCAAGGTCCTTAAGCTGTTGTGCACCCTCACGACGCAGGTAATAGGGCAGGGCTGGGCTGGATATGGTCAGGTGCGTTGAGGTGGGGTGGGGTGGAAGGGAAGGGAAGGGAAGGGAAGGCAAGGGAACACTGTGGGGATGGTAAGAGGTGAGGCTGTTTTTCTCATCCCATTCACTTCCCGTACGCCCTGTGTGCTGTGTGTCCATGTCCCATGCTATATCTGCGGGCCCCCCACCCCACCCCACCCCACCCCACCCCACCCCACCCCGCCCCACCCCACCCCACCCCACCCCACCCCGGCCTCAGCTCGGGGAGCCCTCCGTGCGCTCCGACCTGGCTGCGGATTCCGGGTTGGTCGCCGCCCTGGCGCACTGCCTGGGGCCCCAGCAGCCGCCCGGGGTGGTGGCGGCGGCGCTGGAGTGGCTGGCCATGCTGCTGCAGCACCCCGCATTCGTGCACGACCGCATGCAGGGTAGGACACCGGGCAGTGACGGTTGGTCTGGGGTGTGGGGTTGTTGTAGGTTTGGGTTTGGGTTTGGGTTTGGGTTTGGGCGGGCCTTGGTTCGGATGGGGAGTGGGGGGTGGGTGGGAGCGATGCAGGTTGTGTGGCGTGCAAGTCCCTCCGATAACGGTCTGGCGGAAGGGGGCTTGTTCGGGGCCTGCGTGCGCGTTGACGACTTACTCGTAACAGGGCGCTGCTGGTGGTGGTGGTTGGTGGTGGTTGGTAGTTGATGGTCGATGGTATTATTCAAGCTGAGTCATGATATCGCGCTGCTGATACCTTGACTGTGTGTGATTAAAAATTGTGGTGTGTTGGTTTTTTTTTACGCAAGCGCATGTGTTGTTTTATGGTTTCTTAGGAGCGTTTGGGGGCTGATGATTATTTTCTGTCGTCGGTTGTCGCCGGGTGGTGCTCTTCTGCTGTGTTGCAGGACCCGTTGCCACGGAGTTTCTGGGCCGCGTGCTGGAGCTGCTACAGCTGCTGCCGCATGTGGGTGGTGCTACAGCCGCCGGCGCTCTGACGCCCTCCCGCGCCGCCTCTCTCAGTGTAACGCTCACACTCAGCCAGGGCGCTGCTTCCAACGGCGGCAACTCCAACGGCGGCGGCGGTGGTGGTGGTGGTGGACAACCGCTGGCGGCGGCGGCAGCGGCGGCGGCGGCGGCGGCGTCTGGCCGCGGCGGCAGAGCGCCTCCGGCCGGCGGCGGCAGTAGCGGCAGCCGCAGCGGCCGCCATGACGGCGGCGGTAGCCTAAACAGCAGCCTTCGTGGAGCTGGTCGCGGGGGCCCACTGGCAGCACTGATGAACGGCGGCACTGCCGCTGCCTCGACGGCAGCGGCGGCGACGGGTGTCGTACAAGATCTGGCCGCTGGCCACCCGGCTGTAGCGGCCGCCGCGGCGGTCGTCCTGCATCGCCTCGTGGCCGGCAGCCCCGCGCTCCGGAACCAGCTGTGTGCCATACCGGGGCTGGTTTCGGCGCTGCTCCGCCAAGTGCACAGACTGCTGGATCAATTAGCGGCAGACAGGTGCGTTGTCCTTCGTACGCCTGTACGTCGAACGGTAGAAGTAGGCAAGATAGAGGCAAGTTGGACAGATTCGAGTTTTTTGATGTTGGAAGGGCAACAAAGCATCAAAATGGAAAAGAGCAAAATGTAGTTTTTCCTTTTTAAGGGAAACGATTAACGAATACATTTACATATTACATTAATTTTAATAAATGGGCGATTTTTGAGAAAAATGAGGATTTAAAAAGGAGATTCATTTTTTCCTTGAGAGGTGACGAAACAAGCTATCGCAAGGGGGGAGGCAAAAGGCCGGGTGGATGGCTTTTTTTTTGTGGGTGGGTTGCTGGTTGTCACAGCCGTGTAACGTGTTTTGCGCCTTTTGCCTGCAAGTCCATTCACAGAGGCACAGCACTGCCGGCTGGTGTTGGCCGCCCTGGCATGGACTCTGCCTCCACCTCCCCTCCTTTCTATTTATATCTTCCTCTTTCTCCCCCCCTTTCTCCCCCTCTACTCTTGCCCTGGCAGCAGCTTCACTCGTTCGTGGTTCGTCTTTCCCCCCCTTTTTCCGCCTACTTCTTCTCTTCCTCCTTTCATTCATGGCTGGTTTGTGTACACGGGGCCCCCCCCGCGAACCCGAACTCCCCAAAACCCCCACGCACCCCACTTACGCGCAATCGTCAAACCCCAGCAGATCCTGGTACGGAAGAATCACCCCCCCGCCACATACCCCCCCCGCCACATCCGCCGCCGCCGCAATTGCACACGCCAAAAGTGTCGAGATTGTGATCGAGAAAAATTTTCGGATACCCCACCTACCGCCCTCTTGACCATTCCCGTGGTAACAACGGTTGCCTCTAATATCCTTTCGTAGCCCTTGTTGCTGCCTTCTAACGGTCATCCACAACTACCTTCAACCACCTTCAAACCGCCGCCGTACCTCACAGCTACGTACTTCCAGCCGCCACCGCCACACGTCTTTCCTCCCTGCTATCGGTGCTCTGCGTGCTGGCGGAGTCTGGGGAGCCATCCGCCTTGGACGTCGCCCCCATCCGCGTACTCTACCGCAAGCTGAGCACCACCAGCAGCAGCAACGGCCGGCGCTACCTTAAACGATACTCCAGCACTGCCAGTGATGCGTCGTACACCGCCGTCGCCGCCGCCGTCGCCGCCGCTGCAGGTGGCGGCGGCGGTGCCGTCGTTGGATCGGGACCACAGCCCTCCTCCAGGAGCCACGCTGGTGAGCCCGGCGGCGGCGCGAGCGGCGGCGGCGGATGTACGGACGCGGTACGGCAGATGTTGGACACACCGTACTGCATTGACGTGCTGTGTGAGGCCATTGACGCGACACACGCAGTCGTGGAAGCGGAGGAGCGCGCGGTGCGGTCTAAGAGCTCCAGTGGCGCCGCCGCCGCCGCCGCTGCGGGCGCCAGCGGAAAGCTGTTGTCCGCGTACGGCAGCGCCAGCGCTGGACTTTCCCCGTCTGGTGACGGAGGTGGCGTGGCGGCCAGCCCGTCCAGAAACCCGTCTGCTGCTACTGCTACCGCTGCTACTGCTACCCCTTCCAACGCGCAATCGGGAGTAACAAAACCTGTGCCGTACTTGCCGTACTCGACGGCGACCAGCGGCGCCTTGCCGTGGGTAAGCCACGATATGAATCCCCACTTACCTGTCCATGTTCCCCTTTGTCGTCAGATGAAGCGGGTCGTAGCAGTCAACTCACACAAACACGACAAACAGACATACAAACATATATACATACGCACAGCACTGTCTTGTGGCTAACCTCCCTTCCCACATCCCCTCTTTCCACACCCCTCATCCCCTCCTGGCCCTCCCCGCTCTGGATGTGCACCTGCTCTGGACACCGGTTTATCCTCGCATACGATCTCCCG